ATATATATATATATATATATATATATATATATATATATAGAGAGAGAGAGAGAGAGAGAGAGAGAGGAAGAGTAATTCGTTCCATTTCGTGATATTTATCCAGGTGCCTGAGCTAAGTAATGTAATAATTTCGAGATGTTGACTAAACTTAGATTAATCAACACAAGTGGTATGTACATTAGTTACTATTCTTATACCACAATCACTACTGACGTCACCCTCTTATTATATTTATCTTCCTATTGGGTTTTAAATGATTGAAACAGAGTAACGAATGTGTCCTAGATGACTCCTTTGGCACTCGTATGCGCCATTCGAATTCTATGTGAGACTCCGTAATTCTCGTTCTTCATGATTTTACGAAAAAAATAACGAGATTTAAAAGTCGGCCATTGAAAGCCGTATCATTGGGATGAGTGAAAAGACCAATAGTTCAGTGTATCTACCCAGGGTGTTAGGAACAAATATCCAACAAATCAATTGTTTTTAGTCAATTCACCAAGTGAAAAAAGATTATGAGAAAAATATTATTAGAAAGCGAGATCAAAAAAGAAGAGAAATCAAAAAGATCGTGGATAAAGATTGACCTTAAATTTACATGTTTGAAGATCCAGCTGGTTGGAGAGTAAGAAGCCGGAAGATTTTCACAGAGGAGAAGTGCGAGAAAAGAATCTGTTAACAAAGAACTTACGGTTACATCTAACCAATTCCACTGTAAAACTATTAAACTTTGTTGTCAATCTCTCAAATTCATAAAATCTAGGTACCAAAGAGGAACGTTCACCAGACCATGAACTTAATTATAACTTAATTATAGAAAAGGCACAGGGAATGTTACATTATGGGAATGTGACTGAAACCTGGATGTAGCTTCATGGAATTTTACCAAGAATCTCTAAGTATCTAGCAGAAGCACCATAACACATGAGGCATCAATATTCGAAGCATGGACTTATAAATACGTAAAATAGTTTCTGGAGAAAAAATGTCTAGCAAGACACAGAGGACCAACTTTCCTAACAGCAGAACTAGAAGATGGTTCAATATGATCTTTCCACTTTATGTCAGGGTGTGGCGAACAATCGCATCCCTTAAAAGCAACATTCTAAAATATGATTGACACGTAAGGTTTGATTTGGTTTATTTTACAGCATATCAACCTCAATGGGTTATTTAATGACGACAATTTTTACTATTGATAATATTTTTTTCTTCAAAAATCTATTGCTGGTAATATTTTTTTTACAAAAAATGTATAGCTGTTTGCAATGCTGGTATTTTTGTTTTTTTAAATATTGCTGATAATATTTTTTTCCTTCAAAAATTTATTGCTGGTAATAATTTTTTACAAAGTTTTTCTGGTCTTAAAACTTATTTTTACACTTTCATAGCATTTTGACCCCAGTTTGGGGGTTAACTATTTGCCCGTAGCTAGGACCCTAATAGGTGCTACCACTCCAGGTTAGGATATACCTGCGAACATTAGCAATTCAGAGGCGGTTCCACGCTCCTCAAAACTTCCTGATAATGGGCCTTGATGTTGGATTTATTTTATTGTCTCACCCAGGATGGGACGCGTAAGTTGAAGGTCTGACCAAATCCAGGATACGGCACAAATATTTATCAAGGAAAGATTAGTTCGACTTAATGTCAAATGGAGCACAAATATTGTAGAGTGATTGTGATGCACCACTGTTTATAGTTCTAAGGCCCTTAAAGCATAAATATCTCGTGGACTCTCTCGTCAATTTCATTGTGTCAGAAACCAACATTTCAGTTTAGACTATCAACAGGGATGAATTAATTTCAGTGGTGAAGATGTGTGCCCCGAAACCTCCCAAAGGCAACCATTTCATAGATCGGTGCAGCACAATCTTCCTGGATTCTGCGTTTGAGCCCATTGCATAAAAATGAGATAAGTTTAATTATTTATTTATTTCTACTGATGCAAGCTACATTGGTGTTTGAAAGAAGTGTATGCTTCTCGATCATATCTGTAGGTTGCATTTCATCCATACGTATAATATTAGAATTCTGAATACATATTTTCAAGGGATGCATTCTAAAAGCTAAGCAGAGTACTAAGAAATAGAAAAAAAACTTCGCTAGAAACACAGAAAAGCACACTAAAAGTGTACGCGATATTAGCCCTCCAGTATGGCAGTGAATTCTGGAAATCTCCTCAAAGATGAAGAAGAGACTTGAAGCAACGGAAATATGTTTCTTCAGCAGGATGCCTAGGATAACGTGGGACTATTTTGTGAGCAAAGATGAAGTTTTTAAGAAACAAAAGGGAAACTTACACTTAACATTAGGAAGAAACACCTCGGCATGAATTAATGGTTAGCAAGTTTATCTCACTAGATCTATTACGACTGAATAGTGAGTTCGATTTTCATTGGCTGCTCCATATTTTCGGCTTTGTGCCACATCTTAGCTATGGTTCGAAATCATTTAATGTCAGGAAGAGACAGTTTAAATTTATAGGGCACATAATGAGGAAGAAGGGCTTGGAAAATTTAGGTATGCCCAAATATTTGCTAAAAAAGAGCATACCTTAACGAAAAAAAAAAAAAAACTTGATTAAAAATTTTGTATTGTCTAAATGTTTATGTCATTATTAAGAGGGATGGACACAGTATTTTTTGAGTATTTTAAAAAAAAATATTTCTTTCTAGCACGTCCGAAATTTTAGCTAAAAATCTTGTTTATTTTAAGTCATCAAAATTGACGTGAAATCGATGATGGAACCCATTATTGATAGTTTTGCAAACAAAAATTAAATTTTCCGTTTAAAAATCTTGTAAAAATCAAGTATACTTTTTTCAAAAGTTATTTTAGGAAAATTAGAAAAATTTAAAGTATACTTAATGTAATTTGGAAGAAACATTACTAACTTTTTTAGCAGAAAAATTTTTAAGAGAGAAATGTCCAAACGTTGTAATTGATTTTTCGGAGGTGTGAACTGACACATGTCAACGTATCGGCAACTTACGTCAGGGGAATTTATCAGATGGTAGGACAGAAGTGACAAAATTTGTCGAAAAAGTGAATCGGCTTAGTCGAGGTTAAATAAAAAAATATCACTTTCAAATTTTTTTTTTACCTTACGTTTGAGGGAGAATTCTGGAATAAAAATAACATTTAAACTACGAAAAATACATTTTGAATTCGAATTTCTGGATATAAAAATAACATCTATAATACGAAAACATATATTTAGAACTCAAATTTAATAACAGACAAAAAAGAGTAACCTAATTGTTACATTCATCTATTATAAAGTTATGTTTTTTAATTAGGTTTTATATTGTCCCAGTTATGAATTTTTTTCCTGAGATAATATAAAAATTAAATAAAATCCCATTGCATTTCATAAATTAAACAGGTAACTCATTTATGAAATGAGATTTTATTTCTTTTTTTTTTCAGCAATGTGCATCCATAGTTTTGTAGGAGACGATTTTAATACATTTTTTGGCATAATAAAATATTGTTTAAAAAAAGATGTATGTAATAGATTTTAATAAGCTTTCTAATTTATAATCTGTAAAAATAAATCTTTTTAATACGAGCGTCTACAGTTACACCATTTCAAGTTTAATTTTAAATCATTTATCAATTTTATCACTTTTTTATTTAGAATTGAAAAAAAAAAGAAAAAAATTCTTGTAAAAATTCATTTTTCAATCGGAAAAAATTTGGCTTTAGACAAAATCGTCCTTGATATATATTATTCATAAAAGCTATTAAAAGCTTTTTTTAATTAAATAATATCTTAGTTTTATTGAGTTTTGTATTTTACAATTCAGAGCTAAAGTTTGGGTTGTTGCATATAAAATTTTACAAAAATAGTTGATGATTTATATTCTTCAAAGTCTTCTTCATTAAAACAAAAAATTACAGAGTTACAAAGTTATTAGTTTTAAAGTTTTCATAAAATTAAGTAAGGGGTGTGGGGTAAAAGATATAAAAAAATAATTTTACCATGACTTTCTAAAAAACAAACATAAATATATACAAATACAAATAATAAATATACAAATATAAATAAATTCATTCATTTTTGAATAAGTTCAGGAAGTTTCATTAAATTCTGAAAATTATTTGATTTTTGCAAGAATTTCCAAATTAATGTGTTTTTAAACTGAAAAAGGCGTTAAAAAACCTAATGCTAAATGTTAGGTGTCTTTTGACCTAAAAGAAAAACAAGATTTTCAACCAAAATTTCAAACAAAAATTGAATAAAATTTTTTTAAAAATAATCTAAAAATGCTTTGGTCTCTCCTCTAATTAATAACATACATTTTTTCACGATAAAACTTTGTTTTCATTAAGTTTGTGACCTTCATCATTAGGCCATGCCTCATTTTTAGCGAAAAAGTGGACATAGCTAGCACAAATTGAAAGCAAGAAAGACAGAGGAAAACAACGCATAAGTTACTTGAGTAAATAGATGAGACATGGTTTAGGAGAAATAAGAGTAAGACAAAATTTATTAAAAGTTACAAAATACAAGAAGTTGTGGAGAGCGACAATCGCCTACGTCCTGAGGGGATACTTATTTTGTTTCCACAAAATCTTTCTTTTTTGTTTTCAAATATTATAGAACTGAAGAACGGGCTTGTGAATAAAGTTCACTGATAAGGAAATGTTTATTTATTTTTTTAAAATAAGAGTCTGTTTATCTCACACTAGGCTTACATTACGTTTAATGCACAATAAAACGTCTATAGAAAATTCTTTCTTTCATGAAGTGTAACGTTTTTGAAAATAAACAAGCATTTACTTCGATAATTTACCAACGAATACCACTAATCAGTTTCGTCTTCGATCACACCGAGAGGTTCTTGCTTATTTCCATGTCTATACTGTTTTTAAATTTCTTTTCTTCCTATTTTAGAGAAGGAAGTGTAAACAAGAGTGATTAAAATAAATGCTGATGATTTCGGTCTTTTGGTGCAAATATTATGTAGAAAAATATTTTGATGTTAATCAACAAGTCAGAAAGAGAGTGGAAACGAAGGGAAGAAAGAAAGAAAGACAGAAGGAAAGAAGGAAAGAAAGAGAATACGAAAGAAAGAAAGAAGAAAGAGAGGAAGATCGAAAGAAAGAGAATAAAAAAAGAGAGAAAGAATAAGTAAAAAAGATATAAAGAAAGAACAAGAAAGAAAGGAAGAAAGAAAGAAAGAAAGAAAGAGAGAAAAAAGGAGAATAAGAGAAAAATAGAAAAGAGAAAGAGAAATAAATGAAAGAAAGAAAAAGAATGTGCAAAAAAGAAGAAAGAAAGAGTAGTAGAAAGTGAATAAGAAATAAAGAAAGAATGAACAAAAAAAACGAAAGAACAAGAAAGAAAGAAAGAAAGAAAGAAAGAAAGAAAGAAAGAAAGAAGGTATGAATGAATGAATGAATGAAATGAGAGAGTGAAAAAGAAATGTCGACGCGTCTTTAAAAATCCCTTTATAGATTCATTTTCATTATTTGATTTTAATGCATCACTCCTCCCTGGCTTGTTTTTGTTGCAAAATAAAAGGCAGACGTAGAACCCAATTAGTTGTCAAAAGATTTTTTTTATCTAGAAATCAACAAGAATAGAATATCCATGTTTTCTTCTTTTTTTTTCTTCTCGTTTTTTCTTTTTTTGACATCGTCTGCTTGTTCAGGATGTTTAGTGCAATGTTTTGACATTCTAATATAGCACTCGGACAAGTCTTTCGGAAAGTTGTTTTCTATTGACGCAATTTTCCGCTATGATCGAATCGGGATGCTGTCTTGGCAAAATAGTAATTTGTTTATTGCTTAGCGCTACATATCAGATGAAGGGCGGGGAAAAAAAAAAGGTCAGTTTTAAGTATTTTAAACTGCAGGGTTTTTCTTGCTTTCTTTTTGGTTTTGGTGAATAAAAATATCATGAAAGAGTTGAGTTAATTTAAGGAAATATTCTTATTAATTATTTCACGAAAGCACTTGAAAAAAATACTGATTTTTTTTTCTCGTCATTAAATTCTGCATGACAAACAGAATTCGACTCGTCTCTCTTGTTGAATTCTTCTGGACTAGATTTTTTTTTCCTTTCTGCAAAAATAGGATTTTGGGATGCCATACATCCGCGTATATAAGTTGAATACAAAATTTAGGCAAAGGCAGACGCCAAGTTGATGAAAACAAGACATTCTCTAGTTACTATAGCAGAAAGATAACGTCATACAATATAGTAATCATTACAGTACTTTCCTCTGATCTATCTATCTATCTATCTATCTATCTATCTATCTATCTATCTATCTATCTATCTATTTGAGTATTTTCATTATCTACCTGTCTGTCTGTCTGTCTATCTATCTATCTGAGTATTTTCGTTATCTATCTATCTATCTATCTATCTATCTATCTATCTATCTATCTATCTATCTATCTGAGTATTTTCGTTATCTATCTATCTATCTATCTATCTATCTGTATATCTATCTATCTATCTATCTATCTGAGTATTTTCGTTATCTATCTATCTATCTATCTATCTATCTATCTATCTATCTATCTATCTATCTATCTATCTGAGTATTTTCATTATCTATCTATCTATCTATCTATCTATGGCTGACGGCCATATCGCGCTGAAGTACCGGTGTTCGTACGATCACCGAAGTTAAGCAACGTCGAGCCTGGTCAGGGGCAGTAAGCTTGGATGCGTGGGTGGTGTAATTGATAACGGCTCGGAATTGTAAATCGGTGAGTCGAATTCCAATTTCATTTGGGTTCTTTGTTTCAAATTACGCGCAAATATACGTGGGTAAGGTATGAATCCAGGTCTTCTTCCCTCCAGCTCTGGTTTAATTTGTAAGACTTGGTATAAGTAAATCATTATTACCTCCAAAAGAATTCTTACAATCTAAAAATCTTTTCTCGCTGTAAATATCAGGAAAAAGATTGATAAGCCGAAAAATAAGTCAATCTTTTCTCTCTCTCTCTCTCTCTCTCTCTCTATCTATATATATATATATATATATATATATATATATATATATATATATATAATTAACAAAGATTTCAAAGCCATGGTAATATTTTATTTCGCAAAAACGATAATTCGATTTTGCGAAATAAAATATTACCATGGCTTTCTGAAGTCTCTAAGTTGTTAATTAATTATCACTTGCTCTGTTTGTTACATTGAACTCGCGGATTTATATTCTCCTAGAATTATCCTTTCGGATTACCCATATATATATATATATATATATATATATATATATATATATATATATATATATATATATATATATATATATATATTTAAAAAATATGATTCCAACACGCTACATAAGAAGTCTCATGTTTCAAAACAAGAGCCGAAAACATATATTATTTACCTAACGAGTTCTTTCCTATTTTCTATATATTTCACACACACATATATATATATATATATATAACAATTTTATCTATAAATATAGCATACCTTAAAACTTTACATATGTATATATATATATATATATATATATATATATATATATATATATATATATATATATATATAAATATATATATATATGGGTTTGTGTGTTGTGTGTGTATGGGTATGTGTATGTGTGTGGGTGTGTGGGTGTGTAAGAAAATTTGAATGAACACGATTAGTGATTAAATTTTTAACTGTTTTATGAATTTGTGATTTATTTTATACAGGAAAACGCCGTTTTAATATAAAAATTTGATATAATAAAACTTAAAATTCGCCCACTTAACGAAAATTTGCTCTGAATCGTGAAATAAAAACTTAATTAAAAATAAGATATATTATGGATACTATTGACTTAAGAAATAAATTTTCATGAATGATGAATCTTTACAAGAATTGTTTCTATTTTTTATAAAATTTTAATTAGAATAATTTATAAGGCTTTAATTCTTTTAAAATTCTGTATTAATGTGTACGAGTTAGGTGATATCGTTATCATGTAAAAACTATATTTGTTAATCATAAATGGAAAAGCTTACTGCAATTCAGGCTCCCAGTATTTTAAAAATAATTTTGAATTTTTTGTGTGAGTATAAATATGCTGATTTTTGTAAATACGGATGTCTGTACACGACATTATTAGAAAATAATAATGGTAACTATAAGAAATTTAAAGTCAAATAATCTAAAATTTAACAAAACATTAATTACGGAGAATATTTTCCTAAATTTTAAAGATTTCTACGTAGTTAAAATTATATAAAAAGAAACTTCGTTATATTCGTCAAGTAATTTTTAAATATATATCCGTCGTAGAGAAGATAAGTTAAATTTCCACTTCTCAATAAAGCTGTCAGTCTGTCAATAAATCTTTCAAAACCTTAAATAAATATCTACTGCCGTGTTAAAAATTAATTTCTGTGATATTCTAAACTAAAAGTATGTAATATTTGTTTCAAATCAGATTAATTAAATTTTGAGTTAGCTAATATTTTTCAAATAAAGTTTTATAAAAGTGCATTTTAATTTTGAAAGATTTTGTAATAAAGAGAATTGCATTAGGCTGGCAGATGACTAAAATCTGCGACTTTTTGGTGATTTCAAAAGAATTATATCCAATAAATTTAAATTAATTTTGAAATATAGCAAAGTATTTTTATTATTGAAAATATTACATTTAATCTATGAGCTTGAAATTAAAACTATTAATGTTTCAAGAAAGATTTTTCATTTTTAAAAATTCATTTTAAACATTGTGTATCGCGTTTCTTTGAAAGTATTTATATATATATATATATATATATATATATATATATATATATATATATATATATATATATATATGTCTGATTTTTGCACGTTTATTGTATTTATTTTTCTAACTTTCGTATGTGTTTATGTATATACTTAAACTGGTTTTGTCAAATAATTTGCATCTTTATTGTATTTTTGTAATTTTCGTCTGAGATATTCAACATCAGAAAAATGTGGATAAACTCTTGGCAGTTTCTCTTTTGTTCTATTTTGTCGAAATAGTTTGTCCTGTTTCACTTAATAATAATAATAATAATAATAAATAATAATATATATATATATATATATATATATATATATATATATATATATATATACAAAAATAGTGTTACCCACTTGATCGGCAAACTTTTTTTAATGACTGACTATATACATACACACACGCACGCACACACACACACGCATATGAAGTAACATAGTTTTAAGGTGTGCTATATTCATAGATAAAAAGTGCTCAATATCAGAGATACAGCGTATGTAAATATAAATATAAAACTGAACAATAAAGTCAACACTCAGAGCTGACAGGTTGCTTCATGCTGGACGCAATCGTCAGGCCGCCTGACGATTGCGTTCAGCATGAAACAGACTTTATATTATATATATATATATATATATATATATATATATATATATATATATATTATGAAATGGACAAAGTCCGACAATTATTTTAAGACATTTTTATGTTTGACATAAAATACAAATAAATATTTAAGAAAATTCCTTTGTTAATAAAAAACAGTATTTAAGCAAAATTGTCGGAGGACGAATATTTTCTATGAAAATTTCTCGGACATTCAGGCCGGTAAATGTTGTTTAATACTGTTTATTATAAACAAAGCATTTATTTAAATATTTGTATCTATAAAAAGAATGTTAAACATTAAAATGTATTATATATATATATATATATATATATATATATATATATATATATATATATATATATGTGTGTGTGTGTGTGTGTGTGTCTGTGTGTGTGACAGCTGGCCACTCTATTAGGGCGGCTGGGCAATCACTTGCTCAGGCATATTTGTGTTTGTTCAGCATCCACAGATCACAACTGTGGTTTATATTGCAACTATACTGAGCAGACCTTAGTTACAGTTTCTGGAAGAGAGTGTGTTATCTAGTGTGATCAACAATCTGAACAAGGCCAGCACACTGAAACCCCCAGCATAGCTAAGGGTTGCGTCTATCTAAGGCTTGGGTCAACCCCTGTTATGATATTTTGGTACCTTTCCTGCCTCCAGGTCGATAACACCAGGAAGTCTACTTCCTTACAAATCAACCGTGGTCAGATTCGAACCCGGTCTCATACTAAGAAAGCGAACGTTCTTACCACTCGTCAGCTACATCCATATATATATATATATATATATATATATATATATATATATATATATATATATATATATATATATATATATATATATATATATATATATATGTTATTATTAAGTTTCTAAATAATGAAAATTTATTAAATCATAGACATGAGTTAACGGCTTTCTGCCGACATCAACAAATTTTTGAATGAAATAATGAGCATAAAAAAATTAAATTTCATAGTCTAATAAATAGTTTAAAAGCTTAACCTAATCATAAGATAGAAAAAACCTTTATGAAGTCGTCAAAAAACAAATTGTAGTTCAGTGCGACGCGTTTATTTGCGAAGCAGCCTAACAAAATAAATAAATAAAATAACGACATATTATGGTGCCAAAAGCTATCTTTCGCTGTGACTGACCAGACGATGTGCGCACATGAATGCCGTCATTCGCTTTGAAATGGATACTCCGACCCTACCTTGGCTTGACCTCTTTCCGAAGGTGACTGATATGTGGATAAAAATTATCTCTTAGGCCCCTTCTCAAAATGGTCGCCCCAGCCGTTAGTAATTAATTTTGTG